TGAAGGTAGGGGGGCTGGTGAGATGGCTCAGTGGTCTAAAGCACCTACTTAGAACAAGCTTAGCAAATCACAGGGACTGCGGTTCAATCCCCAGCACCATATGCCAGCCAGCCCTGCCCCCTGGTGGGCTGAGCTGGCCATACACACACACATAAATAAATAAATAAATAAAAAATTAAAAAAAAAAAAGATGAAGGTAGGACAAACCTTGTCAAGTCTAAAGATACAGAGACTTGTGTATGGACAGGGAAAATGGAAAGAGGAGGACAAGATAAGAGATTTCAGAGTTAAGGGCCTTGTTAGGGGATAATCTCAGTTTCTTTGGGTTGCTGTTGTGAAATGTATCAAGTAACCAACAGATTGGACTTCTGGTACAGAGTGGACACCTTCTTGCTGATCCTGCTTAACCCTTTACGATATAATTACTTTCCCAAACACTGCACTTCCTAATACCAGAATTTAGAATTTGTATTTTGGAGGGATACCAATATTTAGCTTATACAAGGTGGCCAGATAGTTGGAAGGGTTTCTGACAGCTAGAATGGTTAGAATGTCTTGGAGGAAGTGAGATTTTGAGGTAGAAAGTTAGGATAGAAATAGAGTTGTAGCTTTCTGCTGGTGGACACCACGGAGGAAGCATCATCAGGCTCTCTTCCGACTGCCGTCATGTCTAAGTCAGAGTCTCCCAAGGAGCCCGAACAGCTACGGAAGCTCTTCATCGGAAGGCTGAGCTTTGAAACAACTGATGAGAGTCTGAGGAGCCATTTTGAGCAATGGGGAACACTCACAGACTGCGTGGTAATGAGAGACCCGAACACCAAGCGTTCTAGGGGTTTTGGGTTTGTCATTTATGCCACTGTGGAGGAGGTGGATGCAGCCATGAATGCAAGGCCACACAAAGTGGACGGAAGAGTTGTGGAACCAAAGAGAGCTGTCTCAAGAGAAGATTCTCAAAGACCAGGTGCCCACTTAACGGTGAAGAAGATCTTTGTTGGTGGCATTAAAGAAGATACTGAAGAACATCACCTACGAGATTATTTTGAACAATATGGAAAAATCGAAGTGATTGAAATTATGACTGACCGAGGCAGTGGAAAAAAGAGAGGCTTTGCTTTTGTAACCTTTGATGACCATGACTCTGTGGATAAGATTGTCATTCAAAAATACCACACTGTGAACGGCCACAACTGTGAAGTGAGGAAAGCCCTGTCCAAGCAGGAGATGGCTAGTGCTTCATCTAGCCAAAGAGGTCGAAGTGGTTCTGGAAACTTTGGTGGTGGTCGTGGAGGAGGTTTTGGTGGCAATGACAGTTTCGGTCGCGGAGGAAACTTCAGTGGTCGAGGTGGCTTTGGTGGCAGCCGTGGTGGGGGTGGATATGGTGGCAATGGAGATGGCTACAATGGATTTGGTAATGATGGAAGCAGTTATGGAGGTGGTGGAAGCTGTAATAAATTTGGCAATTACAACAGTCAGTCTTCAAATTTTGGACCCATGAAGGGAGGAAACTTTGGAGGCAGAAGCTCTGGGCCCTATGGAGGTGGAGGCCAATATTTTACCAAACCACGAAATCAAGGTGGCTATGGTGGCTCCAGCAGCAGCAGTAGCTATGGCAGTGGCAGAAGGTTTTAAACACTTCCAGGAATCAAAGCTTAGCAGGAGAGGAGAGCCAGAGAAGTGACAGGGAAGCTACAGGTTACAACAGATTTGTGAACTCAGCCAAGCACAGTGGTGGCAGGGCCTAGCTGCTACAAAGAAGACATGTTTTAGACAATACTCATACGTATGGGCAAAAAACTCGAGGACTGTATTTGTGACTAATTGTATAACAGGTTATTTTAGTTTCTGTTCTGTGGAAAGTGTAAAGCATTCCAACAAGGGTTTTAATGTAGACCTTTTTTTGCACCCATGCTGTTGATTGCTAAATGTAATAGTCTGATCATGACGCTGAATAAATGTCTTTAAAAAAAAAAAAAAAGAAAGAAATAGAGTTGTAAGGCCATACATGAAGACTTCAGGATTTTGTGTGAATAAAGGTATAGACTTTAAATGAATACTAACCATATTCTACAAGTTAAGCAGCAACAGGCAGTTAGCAGTTAATTAGATGGGTAGAGTCTGGCTGAATAGTTTCAGTCCTTTTCCCTTTAGAGCAGAGGTGGTGAACCTACATGTTATTTATGTTTCTTTAAAGAGAAAAGATGTTGGGGCTGGAGAGATGGCTCAGTGGTCTAAAGCACCTACTTGGAACTAGCTAAGCCAAGCAGAGCACAGGGACCTCGGTTCAATCCCCCAGCACCACATGCCAGCCAGCCCCGCCCCCTGGTGGGCACACACATACACACATAAATAAATAAAATTTAAAAAAAAAAGAGAAAAGATGTTAATGTGTGAGGTTTTCTTTGTTTTTTTTCTAAATCTTAGTATTCCAGTTTAATAACAGTGTTGGATTTTTGTGATAAATAAGTGCATTTTAGGTTTGCCATCACTCCCCTAGAATGTGTAGACCTTAGAGCTCTGGTAGACTCTGGTGATTTGGGAGGTTTGAGAGAAGCCAAATGTACTGTTACCTTTTGTGGTACCTCTCTTTGCCTTACCACTTTGTTGTATGTGTAGGGGTGGTATTGGAGGTTGAACCCCAGAGGCTTGTCATGTTAGGCAAGCATTCCGCCACAGTTAATGCCTCTAGCCTTTTTTTTTTTTTTTTCCGGAGACAGGTTCGCTATGTAGTTCAGGCTGACCTTAGGCTCATTATGTAGCCCAGGCTGACCTTGAACTTTTGTGATTCTCCTGCCTCAGTCTCCCAAATGCTGGGATTATAAAGGCATGCACCACCATTCCCAGGCTCAGCCTTTTGAGATGAAGTCTTGCTGAGTTTCTCATGTTGACCTTGGATTTGTGATCTTTCTTCCTCACCTTCCGAATGTTTGGTTATAGGTATGTGCCGTCATGCCTGGCAATGTGAAATAATTTTACTGGGAGGTTAACATAAAATATATTAACATGTCTTATGTAGTTTACTTTGAGTTGTTAAAGCTGGCATTATATATTGCAAAACCCAAATCTCTTTTCTGGTCTTTCCTCCAATTTGTGGCTCATCTCATAACATTGTATTTCTTATAAATGAGTGTATGTATGTATGTATGTATGTATTGCTTTTTGAGACAGAGTTCTCCCATGCAGTTCAGTTCAGGCTTAAATTATAAGTTTAAGTAGTAACAGGCAGTTAGTTAATTAGATGGATAGGTTAAGGCATACCGGTGAGTTCGACCTTGAACTCACTTTGTAGTGATCGTAAAGGTATCAAACTCATAGTGATCCTCTGCCTCAGCCTCCTGAGTACTGGGATTTAGGCATGTGCCATCACACCCTACAATGGCTGGCTTATTTATTTATTTTATTTAGAGACTAAGTTTGATGATGTAGTTAAGGCTAGCCTTGAATTCACTTTGTTCCTCAGGCTGGCCTCACATTTGCAGCAGTTCTCCTGCCTCTGCCTCCCAAGTGGTGGGATCACAGGTGTATAACACTGCATTTGTCTGTCATGACATTTTTAAAAAAAATTTTTTATTTATTTTTATGTGTGTGTGTGTGTGTGTGTGTGTGGCCAGCTCAGCCCACCAGGGGGCGGGGCTGGCTGGCATGTGGTGCTGGGGATTGAACCGCGGTCCCTGTGCTTTGCTAAGCTTGTTCTAAATAAGTGCTGTAGACCACTGAGCCATCTCACCAGCCCGTCATGACATTTTAATACATAAGATTTTAATACCTGCCAAAGGTTGGGCAGAATAGTCTGAATAGAAATTTGACTCTGAAAAGATCCTTTCTTCTCCTTGTTACTGGAGACTGAACCCAGGACATGAACAATGAGATACATCTCCTGTTCTGCTCTTTTTTAATTTTTAAAATTAAAAATTTTGAGGCAGGACCCTGCTGTCACTAATTGCCAAGGTTGGGCTTGAATGTGCCATCCTTGTGCCTCAGCGTCCTCTGGCTCCACATGACCGCCTTTATAATGGTAGCTCAGAAATTGGTATTTGTGATTTCTATGAACAATGAGTTATAGAATTAATTAAAAATAGATTTTTTTTTCTCCGAATGCCTTCAGGGCAGGTTTGGCTGGCTGGAGTGTTGTGGGGATCGAACTACAGCCACCTGAGGCTGACAGCTTTGTGGAAGCAGCCACTTAAAGAACTGAGCTAGGGCCAGGCCCCCCTAAAAATAGAATTTAATAATTAAAGTTTTAAGTGGTTTGTTAGCATTTTTTAAGTATTGACCCAAGGTGCAAGACTTAACAGTATTTGCTAAAATGCAGGTACTATTTTATTTTTACATATATTATCATATTCCATCACTTTATCCTATGTAGGCAGTATTTAAGTGCTGCCTTTGATTTTTAAAAAGCTGAACGTTAGAAATGTTGAACTTGCCCAAGCTTGCTTAGGGTGTGATAGAGCCAGTTTGACCAGAACCCAGGTGCTTAACAAGGGACCCACAACCATTTTCCAAAGAATTGCTGAGTTAGGTTAGGAAGCTTAAGAAATGAAAGATTGATTTTTTTATTTATTTTTTTTTTTGGCGGAACCAGGGATTGAACTCAGGCCCTTGTGCTTGCCAGGGAAGCGCTTATTCCACTGAGCTATTTCCCTGGCCCCTGAAAGATTTATTTTTTATTTTTTATTTTTTTTGCGGAACTGGGGATTGAACTCAGGCCCTTGCGCTTGCCAGGGAAGTGCTTATTCTACTGAGCCATCTCTCCGGCCCCTAGATTTATTTTTTAAAGAAAACAAAGTGGTAAAAAAAAAAAAAAAAAAAAAAAAAAAATACAAAATTTCATTAAACAAAGTAATAGGAATTTGACAGAGGTTGTTGTTTGCATAATGTTATCTTCAAATTAGTTGTTTAAGTTACCAAATATAAACCTGCAAAATTGGTTTTAAAAAAAATTATAAGAAATTTAAAAAAAATTAAATTAAGCATGACTGTTCCTTTCAATAGGCCAGCAAAAAAATATGGCATGCTTTACAAATTTGCCCGTCATCCTTGTGCAGGGGCCATACTGATCTTCTCTGTATCGTTCAATTTTAGTATGTGTGCTGTGGAGTGAATCCCAGCACCTGAGAGGCTGAGGCAGGAAAGTCAGAACTGCACAGTGAGTTAAAGGTCAGCCTGAAATACAGATCACAAGAAGTGAAAGATTTTTGGGTAAATAGAAAGGGAAAGAGCAGACTCTTGCTAATTTTTTTGCCTCCCCTCTTGCAATTAAATTATTTGTTTGTAAAGAAATAGGGAGTGAACTTTACTTTTACTTCTTTTTTTTTTTTTATTTATTTATTAGAGAGAAAGAGAGAGAGAGAGAGTGTGTGGTGTGTGTGTGTGGCCAGCTCAGCCCACCAGGGGGCGGGGCTGGCTGGCATGTGGTGCTGGGGGATCGAACCGCGGTCCCGATGCTTTGCTAAGCTTGTTCTAAGTAGGTGCTTTAGACCACGGAGCCATCTATCCAGCCCTACTTTTACTTCTTGCTGCTTCTTTTAGTTCGGCCTTCCTCTTTGTATTGGTGGCAACTCTCATAGGCATATACTTGCCGCTTCAGTGATACTTGTTTTTATTAATGTCACTTTTCAGGGGAGGAAGTATGTTGTAATGTTTAATAATAGACTTGAGAGACTGCTTGGGTTTGAATTCCAATTCTGCTACTTATTGAGTAACCTTGATTTAGTTGCTTAAGTTCGTTGAACTTTATCTTATCTATAAGGTAGGGTTAAGACAGCATATAACTCAGGGTTGTTAGATGAAGTGTATGAATATGTATAATGTGTTTAGAATAGTAAATGACACCTAGTGTTATATATTGGCTGTTACCACTACAGTATTATTTGAGGACAGTTTTAGGTTGAAGCAGTAACTGATTAAGGTTAGGAATCAGGATCATTAATATACAGATTTGTATGAATGCTTCTTAGTGCATAGCAAGGTAAAGAAAAAAGGAGAAAAGTTAAATAAAAGTTTAGTTTTGATGAGTAATAGTTTACTTTCTGTGATTACTCACATATTGTACTATTCTTTTCTAATGTGATTTTTACATCCATTCAACAATTTGCTAGGTGTCTTTGTACCAAGTGCCTCAAAGTACAGTGGCATGTAATGTTTAAGTACAGAAACATCAATAGGCACTTGTAAATTGTGATTAAATATTGTGAAAGAAGCAGTGGTGCACACTTGTAATCCTAGCACCTGAGAGGCTGAGGCAGGAAAATCAGAGCTACACAGTGAATTAAAGGTCAGCCTGAACAAAACAGTGAAAGATGTAGGAGCACATAGGGACATCCAGTCCATGAATCCTTATTTAAGTGAGTTAGGTGGGCTTGTGTTTTTGTTTAGTAAGGTGGTACATCTACCCAGCAAGAAATTGTAACCCCTTCAGGATTACAGTTGAAAGAAGACTATATCTTAAAATCTAGGCATTGTATGCACAGAGGTTTTTTTACTTTTAAATTCCTCTAGAAAAATAAACATTGCATTGATCCTGAAATTCTTTTCCCCCATTTCCTCTCTCCCTTCCTCCCCCGCCTCTGTTTCCCAATATTCCTCCCTCTCTTCCCTCTTTTCCTTTCTCTTTTTTTCTGCTTCTCTTTCAGCAGTACTAGGAATTGAACCCAGGGCCTTTTCAGTGAACCATATCCCCTAGTCTTTTTTAAATTTGGAGACCTGATGTGTCAAAATTACCCAGGCAGGGCTTGAATTTATGATCTGTCTGCCTCTGCCTCCCATAGTACTCAGATTATAGGCTTATACCACCAAACTTCATAGGTATCAAAATTTAGGATAGAAAAACTGGTAGTGACTGTAAGG